TAAATAGGCACTATTGCTTGTAGTATTTATCTCTGTTGGTGCTATGCACAAGATAATCCTCAGTGTGATAAGGAGGACTATTGATAGAATTTGCAGATGGCTAGGGCATGAAGAAGTGCAGTTGTGTTGCAGCTGATGGGCTTGCACCTCAGCTAGCTTCCCTGATGAGGATGGGAATTTATCAGAATGTGAAAAATGCCAGGCACTTCTGCAGCCCTTTTTGGCTATGGTATTGTTAATTAAAACAAATCATTCTTCCAGAGCACTGCTTTTAGCCTGCATCAAGTGCAGAAGGACTCTTCTCCCTGTTGGTAGCTGTGATAACGGTGATAGCAGTGATGTTCAATGTCCTTTCCTCTCTCAGTCACTGTTGTCCCAGAGGAAGAGGGGGTGCAGCTGCCTGTCACAAGTACCCCTCTGAGAGCGGGAGGGGATTTGGAGAGGACAGCAGATGGACTAGAGTAGGAGAGCAGCAGCAGCAGATTATAAATGTTCCTGTAGTTAGCTGGAAAGGATCTTTTCTGTCTTTAATATGCTAGTTCCTTTTTCTATTCCTGTAATCTTAAAAAAAACTGCAAACACAGGAGAGATTTTTTTTTATCCTTCTCTCACTCAGCAAAAGAGGCCCTTTCAATATTTTTCCTCTCCGCGTAGACTGAGGAATTTGCAGGGTGAGTGTGAGCCCATGCCAGATAGCAGGGTTAACACACAAGATGAATAGAAGAGAGCACATGAAAGGCACACAGTGTGGTTAAGGTAGAGAAGAAGGCTGTTTCAGAATAGGTGTGGATTGACAAGAGCTTCATCCCTCTGGAGCCTCTGAAGGACAGCAGTGTGTGACTTGGCAGAAGCAGAAGTGCTTCTTTTATTTTGCTCTTTTGAGTTAGAGGAAAACAAGTGTCCACATAATAAACACAGACATAGGCTCTCCAAGGCAAAAGAAAAAAAAAAAAAAAAAAAAACAAAAAAAAAACACACAAAAAAAAAACACCCACAAAAAAAAAAAAAAGAGTGTTGCTTAGGAAACACTTTTCCTGCTAACACAAGAAGTTTCATGAGTAGCCATCCAGTCTGGTATCCTAGTAATGAGTGACTAGCTCATCAGTGTTTATTCTTGTGTAGCTTATTTTTTTTCTGCTGCTGGTTTTTGGAGTTGTACTTGTTTGTTCTTGTACTCACTGATTTTTGTGTGATTTATCATGGCTGGTTTCATATGCCTAGTGCCTACAACAGTTTTTACTCTCTTGCAGTCAAACCTTGCTGTGAGGCTTTGTCTTGTTTACCCAAGGGTTTCCAATGTCCAGCTGCCATGGAAACATAATCTGCACTGATACACTAGACAAGGGTTCTAGACAGATGAGATTTAGTCATATCACAGACATTGGAAAGCCTCCAGTAGACTTCTACCACAACTCTGCAAGACAGACAATGCACAAGGAGTCGGAGTTTCATTTATTTTTGGGATGAGAGGTATCACACCTCAGAAAAAAATTAGGTTAGGTTATAAATGGTTTTTTTGTAACTCATTCTTGCTGTAAAACATGCTTCTCAGTCTGTAGGGACCCTTCAATCTTTTCAGATGTGCCATTTCTCTGGTTCCTTCAAGCTTTCCTGTCTAATGGCTAGCCATTCACCCCTGATGGACATTCAGCCTGATGGGCATTTCTTCTTCACCCAGCCCTCTGTGGTCTGACCCTCAGGACAGACCTTGGCCATGCTCCATGGGAATGTTCCTTCTACTGCAGCTGAAGAGCTCATTTAGCTTCTTGCAGTGCCGTTGCCTTTGAAGGACTGTCAGGGCTGGAGGTAATATCCCAAGGTGCTCACTGTCCAGGGAACAGTGTTCTTCAACCACCCAAAGACATAAAGTCTGCACTTTTTTTCAGGTACGCTGGGCTCTCCTAGTACTGTGGTATGACTATGGCATTTCCACAAAGGTTCAAGTCACTGAATGCAACAGATCTGTTTTGTATGTCATTGTAAATTAGGTTTGACCAAGTCTGTAAAATTATAAGATGCCCCTGGAAATTACTAACAGTGTACTTTAGACTGCTCTGAGTTCTGATTCTGAGCAGAAAAACATCAATATTTTGGTGTATGCTTAGAGCTTTCCAGTATATGGAAGCAGGAAGCTTTTAGATATCACTGTTTTATTTAATGTGGTATTTTTAGATCTTCGTTCTTGGTGAAGTCAATTCACAACAGATTTCTGGGAGGGGAAGATTAATCTCACTTTCCCCTTACTTCAACAAATATTCTAGTAAGAGGAAAAAAAAAATCAATCATTGCTTTACTTGCAGAAAAATAATTCCATGTTTAACAGATGAAGTTTCCTAAATCTGAAGTATTAAGAGCCTGACATTTATGTTTTCCTCTGTACCTAACTCAAACACATCCTTACCATGAGTGATGCTTCGCAGTATTTTCCGGTGTACCTACAGTTAAATAAAAAGTGAGCAAAGCTGAGGCACTGTCACCATTTACAAGCATTTAATAAGCTGTCAGAGCCATTAGCATGGGGGAATGTTTTGCTAGGAGCAGAAGGGTGACAATTTGCGCAGTGGTGACTTCCTTCCAGAGCTGGATGGGAAGGCAACTTTTGTTTTTATCATCCTTCAGTGTAACTTGAGCTGCACAGAGCAATTAGTTGGTTGCTCAACCACAGTCCAGTTTTTCTTGAGTTCAGCTAATCAAGCCTCAGCACATAGGTTATCAGACCTGTCTGAGATACTGACGAGCCCAGAGAGGCTCAGGAACTCCATCTGAGACAAGCGTTCAGTGCAGTGGATTTTTCTGGATGACTTTGGAGCTTTCTCAGGAGCAAATTCCTGTCTGCCTCACCACAGAGCTTTTGGTTGCTGTTTCTAACATATCAAAAAATATGCTAACAGAATGTTCTGTTGGTTCTTAGCAACAGATTAAAAAAAAAAAAGGAAAATTGGAAGCCTTCAATTCCAACTTTGAAAAACACTATAAGAGCTTTCCTGCTAGCTCCATTGTTTCTACATTGGACTTTTCTGCTACAGGCCTGGTGAGGATGCTGTCATTGTCTTTTGTCCTTCAATGTAGATCCCATGACTTGCAATGTTCTCATCTCTGATGTTGTTCTCCCAAGGCACCCTATAGTGAAGAAAATGCATGTTTAAGCTAGAACAAAGTCCACTGCTGCCTTACTAGCTAGGAGGCTAAGCACAACATGCACAATTTCAACAGTGAGTAGTTGAATTTGAATTAATGACTTAGTTTCTGCAAAAAGCAGTTCAACAGAGCTTTTCTGTGCAGGGCGCAGATTCTATCAGCATGGACAATACCACAAATAAAGAGATTCTGTTTTCTACTCTTATGGCAACAGGTACAAGGAAAGGACAAAGGCCTGTAGTCCTTTGCATGGGTTTCAAGTACTCTTTTCTAGTACTGCTGAAATCCAAAAGAGGTGCAAAAAGACAAAAGCTATGAAGTGGGTTCATGTGTTTGATGCCACCTCAGCGAGGGAGAGTTTCATCCCCATGCTGTCAAATTGCTGCCAGAGACCCTAACAAAATCATTTGGTGAAAGGGCTTCATGCTTTGACCTGGTAGCTGGCAATTCAGCCCCCAGCTTTTTTCCATTTGTAAGCTGTGTTGGTCAACAAAGCAATAGACATTGAGTGGCACCATTAGTTGCAAGCAAACTCAGTTTAGGGATGCTTTTTGATGTATAAAAAGCATGTGTATACAGTTGCCTGGTTGGTAACCAATGTCTGTCACCTGGTATATATTGCAGGCTTGCAGACCCCTTTGGAAAAATCTTCTTTTATTTGATCTAGGTGGGTTTGCTGTCCAAACTGCACAGCTTACAGTTGTCACTGCCCAAGCTGGAAATTGCTGGCACCTTCTTGGCAGGCATGGCAAAGACTGCCTGGTGTGGGAACTGATTTAGGTGCTAGTACTGCAAGAGACTGGAGCAGTATGTAATCAAATAAATACCACAGTGACAGGAGAACCAGTTTGAAAACAACGCTCTCAGAGTAGTGCTGGGAAGTCTTTATTGCTGCTGCCTGTGCTAATCCTGCTCAGTGATGATAAGACATTGGTTTCCACCTCAGTAAGGCAGCCTGGAAAATCTCAGGAGCCCTGTCTTTGTTCTGACATGATTGGTGCGTAAGGGTGTCCCCAGCAGAGCTTATATTTAAAACCTCTCTAACCCTGCAAGGAGTTACAATCTTCCTTTAATTCAATACTCCCAATAAAGTACAAAGCATTTTATTTAATTTCTGCATTGAGCTCTAAATTTTGTTCTGGGCTTCGTTCTCCTCAGAGCTTTGGAAAACAGGAAAAAGGAGGGGGGAAGCATTTTAATCGGTGTAAGACTCTGTGGCTTTGACGGTATTGAAGCCTGATGAGCCTCTGAATTTTGACTGAATAGAGCCCTAAGAAAAGAAGTAGATCCACTGAAGGACAGCATTTCAGTGCAAGAAGGATGTGTGTTTAGGACTTTCCATCACATAATGGGGCTGAAATGGGTTAACAAGACCCAGGCTTTCTTTTTCTTGAGAATTGCTGCCTGCACCACTCCTTTTCTATTACTGATGCTTCAGTCACAGCACTCACAGAAAGGTTTTCTTTGTTGTTATTAGTTTGAGAAGTAAATTGCAGTATTGTTTCTTCTGATCAAGAGATTGATTAGTCAGAGGGCTCTAGCTGAAGGGAAAATATGTTCCTCATTATCAACTTTAAATGTAAATGTATTTGCCAAGCAGAGTTTCAGATGGTGGGGGGGCTGGAGCTGGGGCTTGGGGGGTGTGTCTTGCTCTTCTGATGTGCTGCCCATAACCATTTACAGATCTTTGAAAGGCATCCCTCTCATCGGGTCAGTGAAAAGAGAGTGTGGGAGCAATGCTCCTGAAAGAGAAAATTAACCATTGCTGCTTCAGTCTGGATGGTTCTTATGGTATTTTGACAAGTAATGCTACATTAGTATATTTGTAGACTTTGTGTTTTGTCCATTCTTTCTCTTTCTAGGTGCTTTCATTATCTGCTGGACCCCAGGATTAGTTTTGCTGCTCCTTGATGTTTGCTGTCCCCAGTGCAATGTCCTGGCCTATGAAAAATTCTTCCTTCTCCTGGCAGAGTTCAATTCTGCCATGAACCCCATAATATACTCCTACCGGGACAAGGAAATGAGCGCGACGTTCAAGCAGATCCTGTGCTGCCAGCGCAGTGAGAGCACCAATGGCCCCACTGAAGGCTCGGACCGCTCGGCCTCCTCCCTCAACCACACCATCCTGGCTGGCGTCCACAGCAACGACCACTCCGTGGTGTGAAGACACAGCCGGCCGCAGGGCCAACAGCAGCAGGCCATGCTGCAGGGGGCAGGTGTCTGACCCCAGGGAAGGTAACCCACTCATGTTTTCTCAAACACTAACGGACTACAAGTGCATCTTTTCCAGAGGGCCTGACATACCAGCGCAGACTGCCCTGTCCACAGGACTGGCCATGTTGCAAAGCCTTTGATTTCTACTTTGAAAAAGTAGAAGATAATTGCTTTGCAGAAGAGGCCATCAATAACCCATGGAAAGCCTTTCTGAGACTTTGTTGAACTTTGCTGCATCTTGGTGCCAGTCTGAATCAACTCTGATTAATTAAGCTTCTACTTGCTTCACTGCATTTACATGTAGCCACTTAGTATTTTTAAAAAGGGAGTAAAGGGGATAAAAATATGCCTATCATTTAATAGACATGTAATATGTATCACCATCAGCATGCTTGTGATGAACATTTTCTGTGCAGGGAGTAAAACTGTGCTCTAGTCTTTGTATCCTTAGTCACACTGTCATAACTACAGTAAAAAGAAAAGTATTTTTTTCTAACACAGGCAACAGGAAGATGAGGAAACTGACTCTTCTTACCTTCATTACTGGTGTTAGAGAATGCATGTTCTGTGTGTATGCAGATTGTTTTAATTATGAAAAAAAAAATGCTCTTTGTAAAGTCTGCCAGAAAGTAGAAAAACATAGACTGTATTCCAGTGTTTGTTTAGATTATGAAATAAACAGTACTTTAGTCACAATGTATATAAGGTTCTTCTTTGAAGTACAGTATGAAATTTGTAACATGTGAGAGTTACCAAGTTTTTTATGGACAAGTTCTTAAAGTAGGACACATCCCTAAGGCTCTTAAAGGGCTACGGTCAGGTTGATAGATTGCAAAAATTATGGCATATTCTTGGAATGCTTTTCTTGTTCATGGCAAAAAGCATATGCATTTTTAAGGGCGAAAAAGAGAAGGTATGTGTTTATGGAACCTTTCCTGTAATTGAAAACAAAACACCTTCTGCATTTTTGCACTGAGAAGTATTTGTAGGGTACCATTCAAATGTTGCCTCCTTCATTTCAGAAGCAGTAGGCTACTAGGAACCAAGACACAATTTTATTTTGTAAAGTCGACACTTTACAAAATAGTTATCCATTGCAAATGACTGGACCTTATTACAGATAATAGCCACATATGTACACTGTTATAAATACCTAAGCTAACAGGTGGTTTTTTTTTTCATATGAGACTGTTTTGAAGAGAAATGTAATTCATGTGAATATCAGTTACCAAGAACCACTGATAGTAAACAAAACTCATTAAGAGGGGTAAATGTGAGCAAAGATGAGATCCTGCTGATAAAAAACTTGGGACCTCTTTCCAAGAAACTGCGTGTTCTCCTAACAAAGTAAAATATATCAACAGTAAATTCCTGGCGCTGTTTTCATCATTGTAATTTGTCTCTATAACAAAAGAAAAAAAAAACAACTAAAACAAAAAAAGTGAAAAAAAAAAGGAAAAAACCCCACACACAAAAAAAAAAAAAAAACCCACAAAACAAAACAAAAAACACAAAACAGATATATATTTATATTCTTCATTGTACCATACGGAAATGTAACTTAAGGGATGATATTCTCCCATTTGGACAGGGAAAAAACGGAGGGTAGAGGGTCAGCTCAGCAAAATCCAGTGTTTCCAGCATCTCTTGCTTTGAGGAGATGTTTGGATTTTATGCTTCCACACAAAAAATTGCTTGGAATAGGCAGTTCACTGCCTGAGACAGGGAAGAGAAACAAGTGAATTATCCTGCCTCCACTGAATGAAGTAAGAGTTACGACGCTGTTTTCAGTAAAACTGAAATCCACCTGAAATGTCAAGCTAGTTTTGTGTGGACACTGTGGAAGGTGGAATAGGCAGAGAAAATAAATATTACATTGTCAGCCAGCTGACCAGGGTTTTGAATATATCCACTTGCTTTGAACAAAACTGGTCTTTTTTCTGACTGTATTTTAGAGCAAGTGATTGTACAGGTTGCTTTAGTTTTATTCATAGAACTGTACAGAGAAACAGAAGAACAGGCTGTATGAACTTTTTCCTTTAAAAGCATCTGCTTACTAATCCACTCATATTTTTTCCTTAGTGCCTGCTTGATACTTGAACTAGTGCAGGTAAGCAGAAGAAAGGAGGAGGTAAGACTTCCTCCAAAGACAGGGGACATCCGACTGAAAAACAATTTCTTTTTTCCCAAGAGTGCTTTCTTCCTTGGATCCAGCAGGAGCACTTTTTCCTGTCCCTAACATCCCCACAAAAGTAGATCATAGACACTTTATTGTAGGATTTTGGGTTTTTCGGGCTTGGGTGTTTGCCCTTTCCAAGTGTTCTTTTCACTGCTATTTGCATGCTTTTATTGAATCTCATCTGTATAGTGTGGGAGGATGATGTTACAAAATACCAGCAAATCATTCACTCTAGTTTAACCTGCTGGAAGTCTGGTGGGTTTAGAGAAGCCATGGATGAATAACTTGAAAACAGGAGTGATGTGGTTGTTTGAACATGGGTGGGTCCAAAGGCCTTTTGTGAAGACACATACCCAAGGAGGTTTTTTGTTATCATTGTGACTGTGACAGAGGGCATTTTTGTTGTCCAGGTATATAGTTCAATCCAAGGAGGCACTTAACAATTCAAAAAGGTGAACCTTTTGAACTCTTAACAGCAGTTAAATTTCAGTTGTCAGGTATATTAATCCAGGAGTATGCCTGAAAACAGCTGGTTTTTCTTTAAAAGTTGAAGTGCAATTTTTCAGATCAAATGCTACAGGAGGAACATTGCTTATGTAATTCTGCTAGAGGAATTCACTGAGCATATGGCTGCTATATAACAATTTGATTAGTGCTTTGTGTTGTTGACGTGTTGTTCCTATATCCTTAAGAAGTCTGAACTCTGAATTGAGTAGTTCTTTGCAAGCTAATGAAATTAAAGCACCAGTGAGCAAAGAGAATAAAAACCAGAGCCTAGAATAGAAAGATTCATTAGCTGTGTTCCTTAGAATCATTCCCAGTCATTTGTTGTCATCTCAGAATTTTTTTTAAATTTTGGTCTTCTACTCAGATTTTTTCAGCCCCATTGTGCAATTGTAGAACACACTTCTGCTATGTGAAAACGTAGTGCAAAGTACTTAGGGAAACAGATTGCTCCACTTATTTTTACTTATCTCAAATCTTCAAAAGGTTTTAGAACACTTCTTAAAATACCAACGATCCTCCCACAGTCATTAAAATTCTTTTGTTGCCAATTGCCTCTGGTCCAAGGAAATCCTCTTGAAGTTCAAATCTAATGGTGTTTGTGTCAGCAATTGTAGTGGTGGGAAATTGTGTATTAAAAGGAATATAATTTGCAGATCAAGAAAAATGAGGTTTTCTACTTCATGTAGTTCCAGTGGCAGTATAAATCTGAAAACTAATTAAAATATGGCCTTTGGATTTTAATTCCCTGTTGCTGTGATAGATATACAGAAGCTAGGTAACCCATTGGTCAGAAAAAGCACATTTTTATAAACGATTGAAAATATATTCCATGTACGTTTGACACATTGATTTCTTTGTCAGCACCTTTTTTGTTCTGAGTATTCTGGGATCCTTTGGCAGCTTCAGGCTGGCTTCTGACTGAGATACTAAAAACTGGACAGATAGAAGAGAGAGCAGACCAAAAAAAGGCTTTTTCAGTGGTTCCTAAAATTCAGCATACCTCTCTGTCCAGAGTGCACCAGTAATGGAGTTTTTGTAAATAGTTGCCACATTGTTTTTATTAACTCTGCCTTTGCCAAATAGTCGCAGCTGTAGCAGCATTTAAACAATCAGGCAGCAAAAGCTCGGAGTAGGCCACTTGGTGAAAGGGAAAGGGCAGACCTGCTGTCTTCATGGGGCAAACTAAGCCAGGGTAACTTGGATGTCAAAGAGGAAAAGACATGTCTTATATCCAGTGTTTTAGTTCTCCTTCCTCTGCTAAGTAACTTCTGAATATCAACATAAATTTGTCCCAGTATGGGTTTGCACTGAAATTAAACTTTTCAGGTCAGTTATGGACTACCTTTTGGTCTGTACTAGTGTGGTGGGCAGAGGTTTAACCATGACTAGTCTGGGTCCCAAGGAGCAGTGTTTCAGGGGAAACTGAAGTGGGGTCTGCTTCTGAACCAGGTTTTTTACCTTTTTTTGACCTTTGTGTTGCCCCAGAAGTATGCTACCAGATACCATACTTAACTACTGTAAAGCCATCTAGGGTTTCTGTCTGTGACACCGCTGCAGGCAGATCTGTCTGCAGTGAGTATCCACAGACAAAAAACATGTAGATTTTTCTGTGAAAGAAATAAAAGTCCACCATGTAGATTGGTTTTACCAGGTAGGATTAAAAAGAGCACCACCAAACGGAGAGGCTTTGATGCAAACACCCCTGGTCTGTTTTTCAGTATGTGTGAATCAAAGTGAATCAAAGTGGGCAAAGGCGTTTCTCTAGGGCATTGTCCCCAACCCATGAGGAGCCATGACCCCATCCCTTGGTGTCCCTGTCATTGTTCTGGGTCTTTTCTGACTGCAAGACTGGATGTAGCTGGCAGAGAACAGTCTTAGCAAACTGGCTAGTTTTTTTCCATTCGCTGCAGAAGTAAATACAGGCTTTTCCTTTTTCTGGTCCTGTTAAGGGCTTTCCAGTTATTGCAAGTGTACCTGTCATGTCCTTTCAAACCAGTTCTTGCTGTGAGGCACCAGTCTGTGCTATACACTGATGTCTATAAGGGGATTTGCAACTGCAATCTCATTTGTTCAGACAAATTGCTTGGCTTTTCCATTCGATTGGAAAGGCCACTTCCAATAGAGAGTTAGCTTTACTGACATTCACACCTGCCCAGCCACAGCTCCTTAGGAAATTTATGTTAAGATAAGGATCTTTCCTTCTATTTTCCTCTCTTAGAGGATTTTCTAAGAAGCTATTCACCTAGCTACTCTTTTCTAAATCTATCAAGAAGACAAAAAAGAGGTTGATATTTAAAGAAAACAAACAAAACACTCAAACCAAAGCAAAACAATTACAACCTCACAACAATTAAAACCTCACAAAACAAACTAAAAAAGCCACAAGAAAAACACAGAGCACGAGGATATTAAACTATGCTGCTGTCTTCTGCAGTATATGAAAATCCAACACATTAATAGCTGCCAGCTTTTCAATAAGAGCCTCCATGAAATGTTCCCTTTTGTCTGTGATAAAATTCTGATAACCAAAACTGTATGTGAGAGACTCAGGAATCTGTTAATTTTTCCTGTTTAAATAAAGCCGTGTTTGTAATTCAAAAGTATTGAGAGAACCAATGAGCTTTGCAAACAATATTGTTACTAAGTGCACTTACTGTAAATGTTTAGAGGTTGTATCTAGTACAATAAAGTATATGGCATGTGTAATATGGAGCGTGAAAGAAATACCCTTTTTTGGAAGAACTGGTATTTTTGAATGTGGAGGAGAATTAGTCAAAAACTGTATCGAGGCACAGGCTTTTCTCTTCCAGGAGACAGCATAGGGCTAAAACACAGGGGCAGCAAAGGGACAGGTTATTTCCAGTAAATCAGTTAATCCATTCTGTGATTCTTTTATGCGCACCTTCCTTTCTTTGAAGTCCACATTTGCACCATTTAACCTCAGACCTCATCTTGTTGCTATAGAGAAAACACTTCCTGCACAGAGAAAACAGACTTACTGCTTCTTTTCCCTCTTCCTATTCCTTCCTCTGCTTTTTTCCTTTTCCTTTTGCTCTTCACCCTCCTTTCCTTTTTTTTCTGCTACAGTGTTTCTCCTACAATGTGTCCCCAGTTTGGATTTAACCATAGAAGGTTAACTAAAGCAAATCTGGTTGTATCATGTATATAAAATTCTTATGTATAGAAATAGATGTGTCCACACATAGATCTGCATAGCCATAGGAAGAGGGCAGAAGTGAAATAAATTTATTCTTTCAGTGCTGTTTGAGTATAGATCTTTATGACTCTATTTTTCTGCTAAATCCTATTTCACATTTTGAAGAAAAGATGACTTATGTAAAGGGTTCATTAGCCCCCTGCCTTTTGTTAGAGAAGTCAATCACTTACGCACTGATGGAAGCCAAGTGTCTGCTTCAGAAAAATGACAGAAAAAGAAGCCGGTGTTCCTAATCACTCGAAGCATTATTAAGTACAAAAAAAAAAATGAGAAGAGTTCAAGTTTTTTCATCTCCCCAGATCCTGGTGATTCATGACTAATCCGTGGTGCTGGGCTTTCCATGGCATGGCATGTATAAGATAAAGCAGCCCCATAGAGCTTGATTACTGGACATAATGAACAGAAAGCCAAAACATACAATTGCAAAATAAATCATGTCTCATGGAAATGCACTGCAATACCTCTGGGATTTTCTGCTTAAGCCCTGGATCACCATTTGCTGGGAAAGCCAGACTGTTTATATTGCGATCTGTTAACATTAAACACACAACACGTGCAGCGCTGCAGCATGCAGCCTCAGCACGCAGTAGGAGATGTGCAGAACTGGAGCTCTGAGAGCAGAGAGCCACCACATTTGAGATCACAGTGCTGGGAGCCTGCAGTGCATTTCCCTGCATTACCTGGGCCAACACTCCCTTCCTGCTTTTTGCCTTTTTGTGCCCTTTCAGGATAGGCGTATCTGGGTGGGCAGCACTGCCTTTCACGAGCAGGAGCAAATGCAAGTTAGCCTCTTTCATGTTAATCAAAGCCTTTCTCTCCTTAACAACTTAGACTTCACATGGTTACAGATCTGCTACTCCCTCCTCTAGTCCTTGCATGCCCAGCCTCTTGCTGAATATTCTTGTCACCCCTTAGAGTCCTTCCAGTTCCTCATTTGTGTTGCCTTTCTCTGTGACTCCTCCAGAAAGCCTAAACCATCTTTGTGGCAAGCTTCAAGGTGACAGCCAGGGTTTATACCCCACAGATGCAGTTCCTTTGTGATTCCCTGGAGGACAAGGTGGAAATGGAATTAAAGTCAGTAGACAGACAGTCACAAGTGGTGTTCCCCAGGGCCCAGTTTTGGGGACAGTTTGGTTTAATATCTTTATCTATGATGCCTGAATGGTGTCACTATCCCTGGTAGTATTTAAAAGATGTGTAGATGTGGCACTTAGGAGAATGGATTGCTGCTGGGCCTGACAGTGATATGTTAATGGTTATAGTCAATGGTCTTAAAGACCTTTCATAACCAAAACCATTCTGATTCAATGGGAAATAAATAAATACAATACATAAAGAAAAAGGAAGTGAAAAATTGTGAGAAGGAAGAGACAATGCAGAAGAGACTACCCTAACTTCTGTGCAGAATTTGGTTTATAACCCTTTCAAAGGCTTTCTGGCAAGTTCAGGAAAGAATTCTTGGTTGTGGCTTTTATTCAAGAGGAAAGAATAATTCCCCATCCATGGCATTACTTTTTTTGTTTCTGATTAAAAACTTTGTTGTTTTAGGTGCATCTTTATTAAGAGATCAAAAGGCCAATTGAAACAAGAAGAAGCCTTCCTATTTACCACCCACACTGAGCACAAAATTAAACTGTTTTTATATAAATGGTGTTTTACCACTCAAAAGATTGAAGGATGCTTCAAGGATCCTTGATATAGCTTGGAGGTTCTCTATTTCTCTGTTTTTCCAGAGTTCATGCTATCTGGATATTTTGCTGCTTATTCTGCCACAGATGTTTAAGTTTGTACATTCTTCTTGTCCTCAAGTGTCTCTTTGCAATCCTGCTTTTCAAAATATGTAAACACTCCTTAGTTCAAGGGAGTTACTCAAAAATGTGCGTGATTTGAGCTAGTCCAGCTGCTACTGCTTTCCAGACCCCTCTCATGTCTGAGCACAGTGAGGTCTGATTTCGAGCTACAAATATATGCTAACAAGTGACAATTATTTTGTTTGGAAATTCTTGTGTCAGGGAAAATGTCAGTATCATATATATGTCTCTACAGCTAATTCAATGTTCTTCAGGTGAGCTGGCTGCCCATATGGTGTTTCTTACAGAGACTCATCAGGAAAACAGACTTTCCTGAGCTGGACTGGGTTAAGGGTTTGTGCTGCGTCTCTCCCTCAAATCCACGGGTGTTCCCAGTGGAGCCCGGCCAGCTGGGCAGTTGGGGTGAGGCAGGCAGAGGGAAGGGCTTCTCCTGGAATCTCAGAGGGCCTGGAGAAGCCCCACATGAGTCCAAAGACGAGCTAGTCCCACAAGCGAAGAAAGAGGCGCTCTCCCTTCAGGATTGGTTCCAAGGTTTTTTAATGTCGCCTCGAAGGAGTTCTGAGTGAGAGAGGCTGAGTCCCCGCCCAAACCGGCCAGATATAGAGGGCAGGGTAAGCCTGACCAGCCAAAGGGGGAAGGACATGGGAGTGGCTCTCTGGGGGCAAAGCCTCAGAGTGACCACTGAGGAGGGGGTGAGGGAGGAGTCCCAGCCAGGGTCCAGTTACCTGGTGACCCTGGGAGAAGGGTCTGGACAAAGGGGAGTGGTCAGCAGGTGATGGACGCATCACTGGGGAGGAGACAGGGGGATGGGTTGGGGTTTGATGGACATGCAGGTACTGATGGGAAAACTGGGATGAACCAAACATATAGAGAGGGGATATACAGTGCAAACACAACTCTACAGGTTTGAAAAAGGTTGACTGACCTTTCTTTTACTTTTGTAACATCATTCCTACATCTTTGCATGAACATGCTTAGAGGTGAGCTGGTGTTAAGTCTTCAGATCATCTGTCCTTTCTCCTGCTGTTTAGACATATGCACACTCCTATTTGTGCTCCTGAAAAAGCCTGCATATTCTCTATAAAGTAGAAAACCTGATTTTCAGTCCACATGCTTAAAAGCACAAGGCATCCACACCTGATCTACCAGAGAGACTGCACAGGAGAGTGGGAATTGTGAGACCTTGACTGTCAGACCTCTTTACGTGACAGCTGGACACACGCACAGTCGTCTTGATGTCTCTCTCCTTTGGTCTGAGAACACCAGATATGCTTAATGACTTATTCTAAAGGCACACACAAAACACAGTTATGACACAGGCAATGATTTTGTTTAGCCAAACTCTATGAAAACTTGCAGGATTGGAAAACTTTCAGGAAAAACTTGAGGGGTGTATTTTTATTTCTATTTTTTACTTCTGTGCAGAAAACTGGAAAACAGTGGGCAGCATTACGGTTTTGCTTTTTTTTTTTCATAGGCAGGAACATACCCTGAATCTAAGTAAGAGTTCCAAAATCCTGAGAAAGCACACAGAACAAGACTAAAGAGAGAAAGTACTTTTTTTTTTTTTTTTTTTTTTTTTTTTTTTTTTTTTAACAGCAATCCATGGGTGACAACTTCCTTTTTCAAACAAACCATTTCTAACCTAGCTGCTTGAAAACTGTGCTTGGAAACTGCTGCCAGCTTCTGAACCTGTCCTGCACCCTGTGAGCTCAGGGAAGGGGGAGCAGTCAGGGAGGTTTTATTATTTATATACCCTCCTACCCTGGCTGCATGGTGTAGAGGGCAGCAGGGACCAAACAGGCTGTGGAGGGGGGTCAATTGTCTCTCTGAGGTGTGAAGTCAGCCTAGGTGGGCAGCTGCTCAAGAGCAGCCCAGCCAGGAGAGACAGCCACAAGTGAGCCACAGGGCCATGTTGCAAGAGGGACATAGCAAAAAATGTTTGGAAGGAGTTATATGAAATGGAGACAAGCTGGACTATCCTCTTGTCTGCCTCTGGCACTTTACAAAGAGGTGGAATCTCTGTGGAGATACAGCAGAACACCACTAAATTGGGATTGAAGGACTATATGGTTATAATGAACCCATAAAATGGTATGTAAGGATTCAAGATCTGGCCCAGAGAGCAAGGATATAAATTTTGTCTTGAGGCTTGAGAAGGAGGAGCTATCAGAGTGCTCTGAAGTGAACCAGATTGGGATCCTCTCTGCTGTCTTTAAATCATGCTCAGTGGCTGTAACTCAGCCATAAAGGACAGGTCAAATAGTTTTGAGGCACACATCTGACCACCAGTGATCTCACTGACCCTGCTGGCAGTGGATCGGCTGGAGATGGGCCAGCAAAAACACCCCCAAGGGATCTGCAGGGTGTGAGGGGAAGCTCACTGGGAGCTCAGCAATGGTGTGGTCGTGTGGTGCAGGAAACAGGGAAAGGACAGGTACAACTGAAGTGCCAAAACTGAAGATATTGATTAAATAAATAAAAGGGCACAAACACGGATGCAGAGCAAAACATAAGAGGCTGCTTCAGAAGACCCCACAGTGGGGCTAACACACACACACACACACACACACACACACACACACACACACACCCCAAATATAAATATAAATATAAATATAAATATAAATATAAATATGAATATAAATATAAATATAAATATAAATATAAATATAAAT